CTGAAATCAAGATAATTTAATTACTATGCCTTTTAAAAAAACTATATTTAAGTATATCACTTAAAAATAATAACACTTGATCATTTAAGATTAGTTATGGTGTTTGTGTTGGTTGTTTGTATAAAATTCAAATATTCAAAAAAATTTTCCAACTTCAACTTCGTTGCATGAAATTGATTTAACCCTAAACCCTTAAATAAACCTAAAACACTGCATAATAATGCAAAAACTTTTTAAAATTTCTCATTATCCGGTATCTTAATTTACTATATTTAAACTATTAAAGAAACTAAAATATCTTATTTTTCTAATGAGTTTCAATACTCCATACTATAAATCACAATTTAACAATTTTGAATATTTTATCGGTTTTTGGTTAGCGACATGTCTTTCGGTCAGCAATTGAAAAATACATTTAATAATTTTGAATATTTTAATGTCGATGGAGGAGCATAATCTTGATATTGGAATATTCTTTATGATTAGTGTGGTAAGAGGTAACGGGTGTGTTGTCCTTTTCTTTGACAAACATGAATCTAGAATAAGAACAAATATAGAATCAAACTATAATCAAATGAATTACTTGTTATAATTATTTTCATAAATGCTTAATTTAATGCTTTATTATGTAAAAAATAAAAAATAAAAAAAGAGCACAGTGGAAGAAGAGTGCAGACTCTTACCAAACAAACAAGTGTCACACAATTATAGAAAAAGAAAGGGAAGCTGAGAGAATTGTCGGCACCTAATACGACAAAAACAAAATGTAATCTTTCATGTGCTTGTTCAAACGAACTTCCACTTAAGAAGAAAAACAAAATAGTTTTCATAAGTTCCAATTTAATAAGCTAAATTTTAAAAACTCTCATAGTTTCTATATATAAAAAAATTAACTTGTACATGAATTGATTTTAATTTAACTTGTACATTGATTGATTTTAATTTATAAAAAAAACTCATTTTTTTTTCTTCTTTTTTGTCTCTAGAAATCCTTTTTAGAAATACACAATAAAAAGTCATGGTTAGCTTTTGAGACGTGTAATCTGAAAATAAAAAATAACTTTCGAATTACACAATTTAGAAAAGATAAAAATGAATCCCTTTTATATGGAACGCAAAGGGAAATTTATGGAGGTGCAAAAAGAAGTTGTTTAGATCTATTCTTTAAAGTGGCTCACGCTAGGCATTTACTTCCTACACTCCACAATTTATTCGCACACACCCACAAATAACTCCAATGTTTTTCTCCATTTAAGTCATCTCATTTCTTTACTACCTGACATTCTCATAATTTCTCCATCATTTTATATGATTCATCCCGTATATTTAAACTACGCGATATACACATATACATAATATATTAACTAGATAATTCTTAGTCCATTGTTCATGAATGGTTAACAAAGAATATAACAAATTCTTAGTAACACTACTCCTTTGGCAACTTTTTCATGCAATAAACAACACCAAATAAACCATTTCAATATCAACAAATTTACAAATTTAATTTGAAACATGCATGTATACTGTTTTTCCGACATTTAAGCTACATTGTATCAGTTGTTGGAGCAGTCTATCTAAGTCTAACTGTACTATATGAAGTATACCGATCGGAATTGATTGTCATTAAGCAAGTACTAATAGGTCAGATTGTCTTAATTGGGTTTGATTATCTAAAATATATTGCACTAATGGTTAATCAATGAACGTGACTGTCACAAGCCTTATAAGTAGACAACTGATGTCCAGGTACAATGATCATTTTCTATCCTAATAAAATATAGACCTATTTATGAAACATATCTGACTTGAGCGTCGGAGTGCTTCTGCAGGTCAACAACCCATTGGAGTGGATCATGTTCTCGAAGAGATTGAAGATCAAAAGAGAGCAGAGTAAGAAAGGACGACCGACCCTCGAACCAATTCAACCGAAACATTTTGGCGCCCGTGGCCCGAGCGTCATCCTCATGCTGCCACAAAGAATCAGACGCGCGCTCGATCTCGACATCGCTACTTCGGATCAACACCAGGTTTTGCAACAAGAGTAAAAAATTCCGTAATAATTCCTAAAGGCATGTCTTTTGTTTTAAGAACTTTCAGGAACGTTCAGCCTACATCCAACCTTGACATAATCCAACCTTGACATGTTCTAGTTTTCATTATAATTTCCAAATTATATTTGTTTACTCATATTTTTGTGAGTAAAAATATTATGCACAAACCTTTGTCAGGTTTTTACCAACTCTTATTTTAAATTATAAAATATTATGACAGGATAATTTAGAGTTGCGTTCAACCTTGTAAGGTTCTAACCACTCTTAATTTTAAATTATAAAAATTATAAAATATTATGCACATGATGATTCAGAGTTGCGTTCATTAATTTTAAATTATGAAATATTATGCTCAGATGGTTCAGAACTGCGTTTATACCTTGTCAGGTTCTAACGACTCTTAATTTTAAATTATAAAATATTATGTACAGGATGGTTCAGAGCTGCGTTCAACCTTGTCAGGTTTTACCAACTCTTAATTTTAATTATAAAATATTATGCACATGATGGTTTAGAGCTACGTTTAACCTTATCAAGTTTTACCAACTCTTAATTTTAAATTATAAAATATTATGTACAAGATGGTTCAAAGCTGCGTTCAACCTTGTCAGATTCTAACGACTCTTAATTTTAAATTATAAAATATTATGCAGGTTTAGAGCTGTCTTCAACCTTGTCAGGTTCTACCAACTCTTAATTTTAAATTATAAAATATTATGCACGGAGGTTAGAATGCTTTCAAACTTGTCAGGTTTACCAACTCGTATTTTAAACTTATAAATATTATGCAAGGATGGCTTCAGAGCTGAGTTTTCAACCCATTGTTAGGTTTACCGACTCTCTAATTTTAAATTATAAAATATTATGCACAGGATGGTTTAGAGTTGTGTTCAACCTTGTCAGGTTCTAACAACTCTTAATTTTAAATTATAAAATATTATGTGCAGGACGGTTCAGACCTCAACTTGGTCAGGTTAAAATGGCCGCACAGGGGAAGTCAGAAAAATGACTTCAGAAATCTCCGCTCAACGCAGGAAGTCAGAAAAATGACTCTTGCTCAGGGACCGGCTCGGGGGAAGTCAGAAAAAAGGGCTTCATAAATCCCCCCCGCTCAACGCAGGAAGTCAGAAAAATGACTCCTACCTCAAGCCGCTTGGGGGAAGTCAGAAAAATGGCTCCAGAAATCCCCGCTCAACGTAAGAAGTCAGAAAAATGACTCTTGCCTCAAGCCGCTCGAGGGGAAGTCAGAAAAATGGCTTCAAAAATCTCCGTTCAACGCAGAAGTCAGAAAAATGACTCCTGCCTCAAGCCGCTCGGGGGGAAGTCAGAAAAATGGCTTCAGAAATCTCCGCTCAACACAGGAAGTCAGAAAAATGACTTCTGCCTCAGACCGCTCGGGGGAAAGTTAGAAAATGTCTTTCAGAAATCCCGCTTAACGCAGAAGTCAGAAAAGTGACTCCGTAGATCCTCGCTACCGCTTCGGGGAAGTCCAGAAAAATGGCTCAAAAATCCCTCGCTAGAACCAGAACCCGCAGGAAGTCAGAAAAAAAATGACTCTTGCCTCATCCGCTGGGGGGAAGTCAGAAAAATGGCTTCGAAATCCCCGCTCAACGTAGGACGTAAGAAAAATGACTCCTGCCTCAAGCCGCTGTGGGGGAAGTCAGAAAAAATGGCTTCAGTTACAAAGAATCCCCGCTCAAAACGCACAAAGAAATTCGAAAAGAACTACTTAATCTCAACTACTCAACGGCTCAGCTTTGTCAGGTTTCCAATGCTTTTTTCATTAAAAAATAAAAATATTGAAGCGTTTACTTTATTTTAAAAAGCATATTTTTTTGTAGTTAAAATCTCTTCAAGAAACTAGGAAAAAAAGTTTTTTCAAAGAGAACTATTACATTTTTTGTTCAGTCTAAGAGAAACATAATCCAATAGAGCAACTCCCTAAGTGTCGCCGCTCAGGTACATAGAGCAATAAAGATTAAGCATCAAGAACTGTAAGGATCTCCCTCTAATAACAAACGTGCAGCTACCTATTTTAAACTAATATAATCCTACAACCTCCTTTTAAAAATAAAGAGCTTTTGCTCGGACCGTTTAGGGGGCTTATGTACCTATGAGTAGTATATCGATCGAAAATTTATTGTCATTAACATGATACTAATGGTCAATTCTTTAGGTCTCTCCCAAAAAAACTTTGGCATTATGATTAATTAGTGGTTTGGTTTGATTACCTAAAATATATTACACTAATGGTTAATCAATGGACGTGGTTATCACAAGCCTTATAAGTAGACAACTGATGTCCAGGTACAATGATCCTTTTTTATCCTAATAAAATATAGACCTCTTTATGAAACATATCTGACTTGAGCGTCAGAGTGTCTTCTGAAGGTCAACAACCCATTGGAGTGGATCGCGTTCTCGGAGAGGATTGAAGATCAAAAGAGAGCAGAGTAAGGAAGGACAACCGACCCTCGGACCAATTCAACCGAAACACTAACCATGGTAGAATGATCCAAGAACCAATTCAACAAACACTAAAAGATGAATGGCCCCATGTAGAAAAATTACAGATCTTGATCAATTCAAGTATGGATTTTACAGATAAAAAATATATCAGAAAAACATGCAACACAACAAATTATTTGTATATATACCCCGATTAAACTGATCAAGGAATGTGTAGAGACCAACCCTTGGATCTTGGGTTGACATCAAACACAACATTTATACCTGATTATAATAGAAGAAAATGTGAACAAATTATTCCAATAGATACATGTATAAATTCCCTTATAAGGAGACATACTCACTACCAATTGGTTTTGTCACATGAGCAATGTAGCACCAGCTTAAACAAATAATCTGTTGTGCCCAAATTTTGATTACTTCTTTGGGAATAATTTTGAAAAAGGATTAAAATCATATACTATCATTTGAAACTTGAAAGGGGTTTCAGGAAGAACCGTTTCAGATAAAATCAGCAATAGCTTTTTCATAAGCTTTCTTGGAAGTAAAATGCTGTTGAAAAATTGAGACAGTAGAGTTGATGCAGAAACCCGGGTTGGAGAGGTGGGGCTAGGAGTAAATTTGTTTGGATAAATTTCACAATAAACAATTAGGGAGAAGACAATATGAAGTCAAAATTAAATAGGCTTCTCCAAAAGCAAAAAGTTGTGTATATATAAACTAAATTGTAGAACAACATAACTTCACATTCAATTTATCCACGTTAATAAAGTCCATATTTAATTCATATGAATTAAAAGGTAAGTTCATGTCTTATATACTTTTTCACGAAAAAGGCTCCATATCTCTATTGTGACTAGGATGGTATAATCAGTAAGTACAATAAAACATAATAAAGCAGATGGATATTAAGATGCACTTATAAGAGAAACTGAATATACTTTGCAAACCCTTCCTAAAATATGAAGATTAACTTGCAGAATGCATAGTTCACCTAAAAGGTCTTGGCAGCAGGGTTTTCCATTCAAATGATGGGCACAAGAAATACCGATGCATCATCTTGTGGGGGGTTTCTGATATGTTAGACATAGTTGACTGTTTATTCTATCTGACATGCTAACAAATGCTGGATTGCTGAGGGAATATTATTGATTTGGAATGGAGATATTAACTTGCAAATTAGTATGAATGCAATTGTACGCCTAGAGCAAAGTGTGTTTCTAACAACATCCTCTTTCTCTCCCCTCTCTAACTTTGAGTCCTTCTACTGTCCCGCTACAAATACTGTTCTATATTTTACTATTGACAACCCATACAAAGGCTAACTTGGCTTTTAAGTGTATAAGCACTTATTACTTTGATTACCAGTAAGTTTAAAAGAACCAGATAAAGACAAACTTATGGTTGAAATATTGATTTTAAAAATAATGACTGACTTTCCACTTTGCATTGAATAATGCTTTCTCTAAAATGAAGGCTGAGCAAAGAACCTGACTATCTTCCATGTCTCTTTGTATGTAAGGTGGTTTTGATCAAGATCAAAGACCTTGGCATAGCTGACAGTGGATCGTAGAAATAACCACATATTTACACCCCAAAGCCAAACCATCATAGTCTGTATTCAGTGAAGTAACAACAAAAACCATCAAGAAAAGTTCCATAAAAATTGTGAACAATGTAAAACATATACAGGAGAATTAAACCCCCAACTCACCACTAGAAGGAGAAGATATTAATACAAAAATGCTTCATATATAAACAGATCATGCAAATTTGCATCCATTCTCGTTACAGAATCCGGAGTAATCTGATGTACGACCAGGAAAAGGCAAATGTTACGTATGGAACAGGTAAGGAAATTATAAGAGGTCTTCTCGATAGATGCTCATTGGACTACTATAGATATTATAAAAGTGAAAAGACAGGTTCTAACCTTGAAGCAGGTAAGGCCCCATATAAAAAACAATGTCACCTGAAAAAATGTATACATACGTGGGCAGAAGTTCATAGGCAGTTCAAGTAAAACAAAAAACAGAGAAATTAAAGATGTTCAATTATGATAAGAATACAGTTAAACTGACAGGGACTTCCATAAACATAAAATTACAATCAGACAAAATAAATCTTCGTATATTTTTAAAATTTAATTCTCTAGCATTACCAAAGAGGAGCATTAGAATAAAACAAAAATTACAATAACATACAAGTTTACAGACAAAAACATACAGCGGTAGATTTCCCACAAATTATAATGAAAGCTGTGCGAATATCAATAAGCACCAGCATGATATATATAAATTGCATAGTGTGGAGGAGAAAGTATTATATATAGGCTGCTGAAGTTGGAGAGACCCAAGATAAAATAACATAATTAAGTCTACAATGAACAAAGACCAGATATATATAAAGAAACTTGCTAGCAATGCCATTACAACAGTTATCATGACACGGATGCTTGTTTCTTTCTTTTACTTCGTTCTAATATATGTGTTCTGCTGTGAACAGTATCAAAATAACATTAGTAAGCACTGAAGTATCTAACCTTGTCATATCCTTTTTCTAGAGACAAAGCTCCCAGCAGCTGTTTGTATCATAAAAAATCTTGATGGTCCTAACAATTCCAATTATTTTGCTAGTAGAGCACGAACTAAGGGATCAAAAGTTACAGCATTAGGAGGGCAACCATTATCTATCATTTCCAAAAGTAAGGCCTCTGCTTCATCAAACAATCCCTCTCTACAGAGCCCATTGATCATAATATTATAAGTCCGGATATTTGGACCACAGCCTTTCACAGAAGAAAGTTGAAAAATCTCTTTAGCTGCGTCTAATCTTCCACGTTTGCAAAGACCATCTATAAGTATGTTATACGTACGAATATTTGGAGAAATTCCCATATCAACAATGTGCTGAAGCGCCTTCGCCTTATCAAGACAGTGGCGTTTGAGATAATCATCTAACAACACATTGTAAGTGATCAAATCCGGTGCTTGACCACTCACACGCATCACCTCTACCGGATCCCACTCAAACAAGGCTCTCCCAGATTTCGACAAACCATCAAAAAGGCAATTATATGTCGCTGTATCTGGAACCAAATTCCTCTTATGCATCTCTATTAACAGCCTCATGGCCTCATCGACCATCTTAACCTTACAATACCCATTAATCAAGGTACAATAGCTAACAACATTCGGTGATGTACCTCTTTCAACCATTCTATCAAACACCTCTTTGGCCTTATTCACACAACCCTTCAAACAAAAACCATTCGTCAAAGCATTGTAACTAACAACATCAGGTTCCAACCCTCTCTTAATCATCACACCAAACACATTCCTCGCCTCCGTGACCATCCCCAACTTACACAACCCATCAACCAATATATTAAAGGTATAAACATCCGGCCAAATGTCTCTGTTCTCTTGCATTACCATCTCATTCAACAACCTAGCCGCCCCCTGAAACCGACCAGCCCCACACATACCATGAATAAGAGAATTGTAAGTGAAAATATCAAGACAAATTCCTTTGCCAACCATCTCAGAACACAACCCACAAGCTTCAGTAACAAGTCCCTCTTTGCACAAACCATCAACAACCATATTATACATTATCAAATTAGGCTTAATTCCAACCCTCTCCATTTTCCTCAGCAACTCAATGGCACCCTTTGTTTTGCCCACTTTGCACAACCCATTGATCAAAGTGCCATAACAAACTTCATCAAAGGAGAACCCTTTGGACACAGCATGGTCATGCAAGTCCAGTGCCTCAAAGGTCCTACCTTTGAGGCACAACCCCTTCATAAGGGTAGTGAGCGTTAATGGGTCGACTTCAAAACCCCTTTTGATGATTTTCCCCATGACAGAGAACGCGAGGCCCATTTGGCCCAAGTGTGAAAGGGAGTTTATGAAGATGCTGAGAGTGACGAGGGAGGGTTTGGGGATGCCCTTTGAGTCTAACTGGGAACAGAGGAAAACGACGGTGGAGTAGCGTTTGGTCTTCATGACTGATGAGAGAATCCTGTTGAAAGAGACGATTCGGGGTGTGGGATGGAGATGGAGCATGCGGTGGAAGAAGGAAACGGCGTCGTCGAAGGTGGAAGGGTTGGGGAGGGGTTTGCGAGTACGAGAGAAGAAGCGAGTGGAGAGGGTGAGGAAAGGAAGGGAAGTGAAAAGGATGGTGGCCTTCAACATGGTGGAGGAGACATTGGAGGTTGTGTGGAAGAAAATAGAATAAAACAGAGTATTTGCAGAACACAACATAGTACATACAGAACATAACAGAGCATTTGATATCATTTATATCAGTCATAATCCGAAAGTAGAAAATCTTTTGCATTACGTGGTTGAATTGAAGACGCGGTAGTTGTCACAGGTTTTAGTTTTAACATACAAATTTGTATCAGGTTTTAGTTTTAACATGATATTTTAGTTGCAGAAAGGAGGATTTGAAGTGGGTTTTTTATTCTGATTAGTCTCTTTATCTTAATAGAAATTAAACCCTTCTTAAATTAAAAAATAGTGATTAACCGGGAAAAATTAAAAAAAAAAAGACACTAAAAAAAAGAAGTGTAGATGTGGATAATGTAATTTCTTCTCAAGTTTTGATATGAATTTATATTGAAAAAAAAAAACTCATCATTAAACCCTTTAATTCGATAAAAAAAAATGTTGCACTGTTACAATTAATTGCTCTGGCTATTTCTGTGAGATCCATTTACCTATTCGTATTTCATTCCTGAGCCTACTACACTCAACACCTCAAACTTAGATGCAACCTTTTTTTTCAGACTTTAGTATACTTTTAATCTCCTGTTATATTTCATTTATAATTTTGGTCCTTCCATTTCAAAATAGAAATATTTACTTCACCTATTTAAAAAAAAAATCAATTTTCGTTCAAACCTTGTGGATGAAAAAAATAATCCAATTGGAAGGAAAATTTCACCAAAATTACAAGTTCCATAATACACAAGTCATTAGCAAAGTCACTATATACTTCATACCAATAACATGATTACCAAAAAAATTATCCTTAAATGTTTCATTTATACTATTTTTCTTCAATTAAACTCTAATTCTAACACTATTTAAGACACCATCACAAAAAAAATTAATCAATCGAAATACACAAAAAGAAAAAGAAATGTTGACAGAATTGAAGATTGTTGATGTTGAAGAAAAGTGTAAGAAATAAGAAAGTATAAAAAATGTTGAGATGGAGGTGGAGGGAAAATTAGTTGCATTGCATAACAATATCACATGACATGTGATCCGTATATAGAAGAACACAGGAAAAAGATGAGACGTAAGAGAGATAATGCATTTCTAAAGGACTACATATTCTAAAATTTTGTGTGTTGTATGTTTCAATCTGGAAATTCCTCTGTTTATCTTCTCTCTATGCTTCATGTATTTTCTCATTCTGAATCTCTTTCGTTTATTAAATCAGATTCTGTGATCCTGGCTGCAGTCACCTTGGTCCTGGTTGATAGCTGTGAAATTTACATCTTTTAGTGGATTGAGATCTCAGTTTCTGTAAATCCTTTACGGAACACACTATACTTGTAAGCAGATTCATTATATTCTTCATAACAATCTTATCCAATACATACTATTATTATTTTGTTGTCAGTGGCTTCTGTTACACCATAATTTCAGATTTTTAACAATAGGAAGATCAAATATCTCTAACTTTAAATGAAAGCACCGAAATTTTTTATGGAACAAAAGAAAAATGAAAATTGTGTTTAAGTCTTCTTTGTACTAGAAGTGTATCCTGATTTGATTGAGTGTAGCAAATAAACATATATTTTGTGTCCATTCTCGTTACAAATGCTGATCTATTTAAAGAACTACGACAAAAAAGAAAGGGAAAATGAATGCAACATCCATTATGGCAACCATTGTTCTTAAGTACAACTTCTTGCAGCTCTTCATGTATAAGTGAACATATTCATTTAAGAATCTCTTCAATTATGCATGCAACCGTAGGCTTGCTTCTTCACTTACATTGAACTGCTGAGTCAGTGACAGAATCTATTCCCATTTCAGAAGAAAACATATTGATACAACTTACAGAAGGAACGACCGAGCCCGGGGTGCTTTAGCAATGGAATTAACTATTCTCAGACAACCATGCATGTGCATATTGAAAACTCCCTCATGTTGGTGGGCCAGGAACACATGAAGAAAAATGCTTTTGGGATTAGAACTAATATTAGCTTAAAAATTGAATTAGACCTGTTGCTGATATGAAGATATTGGCAAAAATTGGTTGACTGAGATTTTCTATACATCATGAATATTGGAACCTAGCAATTTCTCCTCCTCTCTCGGAATTTCAGTGAGTTGAACACCAGATCGCGTGATCTTGTTCCACTCGTTTTCAACTCTAAAAAATATCCACTGGAAGCGACGTAACATCTCCATAAGAGTGATGGCAAACACTGTCAGGTAGTTATGGCGGAGATGAGCAGATAATTTGTATGTCCATGAGCAGCGCAGAACGAAGTTGCTTCCAATCACCCAGAAGTATATCTGCAGCTTAGAAACCAGATTTGTTAGATCAAATGAAAAATGTCTTGCATCATGTTCTAAGACGGTAAGATGCTTCTGCTTCTTACCCATTGTCGACCATATAACATGTTGGAGACTGTACTTGATTTGTTGAACTTGAATATGCGAGAAAATCCACTGTCAGACAAAGGGAAAAAGATAAAAAAAAAAAAAAGTCAATATAAAGTGAGATCAGTGTGGTTACTTGACATAAAAAGTAGAGTGAAGCGTAAAACTAGTCCATAGAATCCATGTGCATATATTTTGTTTCCTCGACTATCATTCTAAATAGGAAGACCCTGTTGAAGGTACAATTGAACACTAAATTTAAGCACCAGTCGCAGTGAGGAATCAAACAATGGCTGCATTATGTATACCTTGAGTCGAACCTTTGGTACATTTATTATTCATAAGGTTTAAAATTAAATTTGGTAAAAGTAACATTTCCATCTGGGAAAATTGTTAGGCCTGTTATTATCAAATAAACGGGAAAGATGATAGATTCGGTACCTTAAATCCCAATCTCTGGTTATATCCCAGTAAAATGAATAAAGGGAATTAATGACACTAGAGAGAAGCCAGAGTGGCCGATAAAGAGTTTCCCATTTCTCATGGAGAACATGGTATTTAAGGGCTGAAAGAAAAATGACTGGGACTGCTGTTGAATATTTCAAAGCTGGAAAACAAAATGCAAAATGGTGTTAGAATACTAGGATATCGAACAATGCAATCATCACAGACTTTATTCTAAATAAGCAAGACAAAGTTGATTTTTGTGCCTTCAGATGACGAGCGTTTGCACCATCATGACAACCACTCAACTGGGACATCTTACACTTTCAGGAGGCAAGGGAGAAAGTTACCAAAAGCAATTACCATTGAAGAGACAATTTTTTTCTTTGGTATCTCTGTACTGGCGCAGACATTGCAATAAACGCCACATATAAGGAAGGACGAGGGCCATTGGTATCGCAACTGAGTGACTACCACAAACTGAATCAGCTTCAAGCCAAGCAATTGTGGCGACCTGCATATTATGAAAAGTACAAAATAGAGTATTCAAGTTCACTATAACAAAAATATGGAAGGAAACACGTAAATTTGCACAGCCAAAAGATGAGAGAATGGAATACGCCCTTCTTCTTTACTATTTTCAAAAACAGTTTCTGGCTTCTAAAATTTTTTGTCCTCTGAAAACTTTGGAAAATTTGTCCCTTGTGCACGTTTGTGTTTTCTAGAAGATTATCCTCTAAACACTACAATACAAAAGAGGACGAGAAAACATCTTCCAGCTCTTTCTGTTTTAGTTTCTAAAACACTGTTTTGGAGTTAAATTTCAACATTTAATACTTGTTGGATGAGAAATTGTTTGCAGAGCTGAGTAGTATGATTTAGAAAACAGTTTTTAAAACAAAAGAATCAAATAACACGGTAATTTTGTTGAATCTACCACATAGCACTCTGCTTGGCACCAATTGTATCCAAAGGATCTAAATGCAAATGAGAAGATTATAAACATAATAGAAGATCAATGACCAAAATGAAGTGTTCATGCAATGTAAGGGTAAGAACAGAAGAACTAAAATAGAGATCGACAACTTACAAGCAATATAAAGAAAAAGAAAATTTGGTAACGTATACCTGTCTGTTTACCATTCTGCAAACTGAACGTTCTAAATCTGAAAACACCTGTATGCAATGCATAATTAGGAGCAACAACTAGAAAAACAATAATTATAAGCATTAACATAATAAAAAACATTGGTAAATATAACAGCACCAAACCCTTTTTTCCAAATAAATGATTAAATAGGTAAGGTGATCATCAAGATAGAAGAATGCACCAAGAAATAAGTTATTAAGCTATGTACTGTACTTTTGCCATGGAGGTCAATATATCGGCCACGAAAAAGTCTGGAAATGTAATTGGCTGTAAGAAGGAAAGAAAATATGTAAGAAAAGTCAAAAAATTTATAAATGTCAGACATAAGAAAACCAACTAACAAACTTATAGAAACTAGTAAAATTAACAGCTTAAATTATTTAAACCATTGAATCAAACCAGTAGTTCTCAGATTTGTAAATTCACAACAATAAACTAAAAACACAAAACTATTGGATGTTTCAGGTGCTTTGTAAAAGGAACCAAATGCTGACCAACACTCAAACTTCCAAGTCAAGCATGACAGTCAAAAATCTTACCTGCAAAGGGAGAGCTATTCGAACTAATGTCCTCAAAAAGAAGTATCGAGAGGACAAATAGAAAATATCAAAGGGAAAGATGAAGATTACTGCAACAAGAATGTAGAGAAGCACCTGCAATACAATATACATGTATATGATCAGAATAAACGCTAGCCAAAATGCTTCTCATAGAAAGGATCACAGGAAGCAATTCATTTCCTGGCAGAAAGAGTTACCGGCCTTAGGAAAAAGAAAATTAAGACATCAGCTTCCAACTCCACACAAACATGAAAAATTACAACTACATATATGTTTAACATAATGAAAAAATGTAGATCAAATCAAGCATATAAATATCAAATTCAAAGCAGTCACATTCAACTATTGGTGAGAGAGGAGAGACAAACAGATACTAAACTGGTTGGGATGCAGCCAGCGATACTTCCCCATGAGAATAGAGATAAAGGTAAGCAGTCATGCTAGTAGGGACAATGATTGTCATCCAAGTGCTACACTGAAAATATCGTAACAGTTGAAGTTAATACATAAAACATGGATAATG